GGCCTACTAATGGGCTTTGGATCTCCACTCCGCACTGCCCCCATCATTCACTATGGTGAGATTTTTTGTTCTGATGATGCCTTACACCTGATCCCTTCGACACCTCGTGGTTGCATAGGCTGGTGTGCTTCTTCCATGTGGGCTTTGTTGCTTCTGAGCTTGATGGCCGCTTGATTACCTTCAAGCCTTTAAGACCCCAGACGCTATACTTTTTGATAGCCGGGCACCATCAGCTTTCTTCACCACATTTGCTTATGCACCCATTTGTCTGATACCTGACTACTCTTACTGAGCATTTCAGTCACTGATTCCACAGGAGAATAGTCGTCTAAAGTAGTCTAAAGGAGGAAAATGCAGACCATGATTTGAAATTCTCATGGGCATCAGGACATGAAAGAGTGATAACTTCTAAAAGTACTGTCCTTAAAAAAAAAAATTCAAATCTTAAACCATAAATAACACCTGAAATTTTCATAAATCCAAACAATAGATTAGTTTAATTAGCAAAGTAATGTCTGCCTTGAGCAGTGGGCTCTCTAAAAAAAGGGATCTATGGACAAAATCAGCTTGAAAGATTAGATAGGAACCTTAGAGATCAGTGACTGTTAATGGCAGAACTCAGAAAATAAATTCAAATTGTATGATAATGAAGAGAAAATCAGAAAAGGAAGGTGGGAAAATGTAATCACTGTCACTAATATATAAAAATAGAAATTTGAAGTGGTTTAGGTTGTGCATTATATATTCTCAATACAAATTGTTTTAAAATATCATGTTGCCTAGGTTCAGCAAAACTTAAAGACTACAATTGCCTAGGTTCAGCAAAACTTAAAGACTACAATTGAGAGCATAGAAGTTTACTTCTGAAAAAAATCGGCCTTTAAATAAGCCTTCTCAATAGTGACAGTATAATCACATACCAGCAGAAGATGAACTCTTCGGGTTTGAAGACATTTAAAATATGAATAAACTGGAGAAAAACTTCTTCCCCAAAGTAAAGCCGATCTTAACAATGTGGATGAAGTAATGTTTTCAGGACTTTCATTTGCTGCTTTAACACAACTCAAAATGAGAAGAAACAGCTGCAATTATGTGGACTTTTCATGTATATAGCTAAAAATATATATATTTTAAATGAAATGGGAAATGCATAAGGATCAACAATGCATTAGTGAGCCACTCTGAATCAGACAAATTAAAAAGAAATGGTGTCATATTCATTGTTTTAAAATAATATTTCAAGATCAATCCTAAAACACAATGCTCTCAGTCATAGCAATTATCCATATCACTAAAGGCCAAAGATAAAGACATTGAAGATAATTAGGATTTCAGTAGTCTGAAATGGATTAATCATGCAATCAGGATGACTTGATAATTAATGGTGATTGGAATGTGATAGTTAAAAGAATGAAAGAAAGAAAATGGTTATCATAGGTGAAGGGTTGTAGCTTTGAGACCAATGAGCTTATGTCAATGGGGGTAGAATAATTTGGAAAAGGATATCAATAGTGGAATGAAGTGTATAATTAGTGACATTGAATTACACAAGTAGATGTTGTAGAAGTGAAAAAATAAATAATTACCTAGGCGCATGGCAGAGGAGGCTTGAGGGGAGGGAAATGGGGCACTATCAACAAGAAAAGAAAATATTCTGATATTGATTGTGGTGGTGACTGTACAACTCTTGTTAGTATGACTGAATGATTAAATTGTATGATATGTGAAGTATATGCCAATAAAACTATTAAAAAAAACTACATGCAAAAGATTAAAGAAAAGAATCCAAATATTTTTAGTGATTAGTAGGGGGTAGGCAGGAGCAGGGAAAGGGGAGATGTTGCAAAGGAGTAATTGGGTTTATGTTAATGATGGCAGAATTATTTGAAAACATATCATTAGAATGGTTGTACAACTTGAAGGATGTAAGTAATGTCACAAAATTATATATGTAGAAATTCTTGAGATGGTGTATGTTATGTTACATATAGTTTAATCACAATAAAATACAATTATTAGATATAACCCAAAAAGAAAGAAAGAAAAATAGGCCCTAGGGAGCAACTGAAGTGTGTGTTCAGGCAGTTAGAACTGACATATTGGGGAAGGATCAGGGATTTATTTGGATAAGTCATCTGTAATATACTCAAGGACTTCGCAGAATTCTGAAGTCAATAAGGCCATTGGTAGTTTTATTTCCTCACTTTCAAAACAATGGGATTCACAATACTATGGATTTATTCATTAAATATTGAATGTAAAAAAAAGAAGAAAGATTAGTATCTGGAAGATATTCTCTTGGTAATAGGATGCTGAAGAACACATGATAGAAATCACTGCAAATAATTTTCTACAGCAAAAATGGGAACTATACAAGTGGGTCTTACAAGAATCAACATCTATGGAAGAAGACAACAAAGAAGCCATTATCATCAGTCAAAACAAGACCAGAAGTAAACGGGGGAGCAGACCATCATTTGTACATACGCAAACTCAAATTGAAGGTGAAGACAATTAAGACAAAAACCACAAGAGCCAAAATTCTGCCTTGAAACTATCACAACTGCATTTAGAAACATGTGGGATGACATCAAAGACATCATCATACATGAAGAAAGCAAAAGATCATAAAAGTTAGAAATGGAAAAAAATAGCACAAAAGAGGCCAAAAGAGACTCTAAAACTTGTTCTAAGTACACAGAGAAGCTAAAATGAAATAGAAGGATGGAATAAAAGAGTTGAAAAGAAGATTTCAAGGGGAAACTTGAGAAGACAAAGTAAAGTATTACATGTAAAGATAAAAACCAAAAAGGGAAAAAACAAATTCAACATTTCTTAAGCTTAAAGAATTTAATAAAGAATCAATATTGAAGGATTCTAGAAATAAAATATTGAATGATTCAAAAGCATCAAAGAAAATAGAAGGTATACACAGTACTGTACCAAAATATATGATCACCTGATCCAAGCCTAAATATTTTCAGTTACTTTATATGCAAATAAAAGCTAGAAAATGAATAAGGAACATGGAAGAAGGATGTGTGCCTTTCAATTATGGTACTGTGGAAGAATATTAAGTAAATGGGATGGACATAAGTACCAAACCTGTATTGGAATAAGTACAGCCAGGACGCTCTTTAAAAGTAAGGATGATAGACATTGGGCCTCCGCCCAAGCACTTAGTCATTGCAAGAACGCATTGTTCTATTAAATTGGCATTCCAGGATGCACCCAAGCACTTACTCATTGCAAGAACACATTGTTCTGTTAAATTGGCATTCCAGGATGCACTTTCCCGACACAATTGCTGAAGAAAAATGTGAACATAAGCAAAGGTGGTGAAGAAAGCTGATGGTGCCCGGCTACCATAAGATATAGCATCCGGGTCTTAAAGGCTTGAAGACTTAAAGGCTTCAAAGCCCATATGGAAGAAGCACACCAGCCTGTCTGACCATGACGTGTAGAAGGGATCAGTTATCAGACATCAAAGAACTGAAAATCATATCAGTAGGTACCCGCTTTACTGACACAATCACTGAAGACAAACGTGTGCATAAGCAAATGTGGTGAAGAGAGCTAATGGTGCCCGGCTATCAAAAGATATAGCTTCTGGGGTCTTAAAGGCTTGAAGATAAACAAGCGGCCATCCAGCAGAGAAGCATCAAAGCCCACATGGAAGAAGCACACCAGACTGACCACGAGGTGCAGAAGGGACCAGTTATCAGACATCAAAGAACTAAAAATCAGATCAGTGGGTGGCCACCTTCCTGATATGATCATTGAAAAAAACATGTGCATAAGCAAAGGTGGTGAATAAAGCTGATGATGCCTGGCTATCAAATGATATAGCGTCTGGGGTCTTAAAGGCTTGAAGATAAACAAGCAGCCAACTAGCTCAGAAGCAACAAAGCCCACATGGAAGAAGCACACCAGCATGTGTGACCACGAGCTGTCGAAGGGATCAGGTGTCAGGCATCAAGGAACAAGAAATCATGTCATTGTAAAGGTGGGTGAGAGCAGAGTGGAGACTCAGAGTCCATCGGTAGGCAACTGAACACCCCCTTGCTAAGGAGTTGTGGGGTGGTAACGAGCCAATCAGGGTGCAGGGTAGCAATGATGAAAAATATAACTTTCCGCTAGTTCTTGAATGCTTCCACCCCCAAATATCATGATCCCAATTTTGCCTTGCAAATCTGGGTAGACCAGAGGATGTACAGATAGCAATTGAAAATACAGGGAATCCAGGAGGGGCGATGCCTGGAGGGTGAAGGGAATGTGGGGTAGAAGGGGGGAACCGATTACAAGAATCTAAGTATAGCCTCCTCCCTGGGGGATGGACAGCAGAGAAAAGGGTGGAGGGAAACGTCGGACAGTGTAACATGATAAAACTATAATAATTTATGAATTATGAAGGGTTCATGAGGGCGGGGGGAGTGGGGAGGAAGGGGGAAAATGAGCAACTGATATTAAGGGCTAAAGTAGAAGGCAAATGTTTTGAGAACGATGAGGGCAACAAATGTACATATGTACTTGACACAATGGATGTATGTATGGATTGTGATAAGAATTATACGAGCCCCCAATAAAATAATTTTTTAAAAAAGTAAGGATGATAAGATTCCTTCTCATATATTTTGGATATATTATCAGGAGGGATCTGAGAAGCACATTAAGCTTGGTAGAGTGTTATCCAAGAAAAGAAAAAGGTAGACCCTCAATCAGATGGAATGTCACATTGGCTGTAACAATGAACTCAAACATAGTGGACATTGTTTCCTTCTGTTGTCCATAGTGTTGCTATTGGTAAAAACCAAATAGTACTTAACAGTAATAACATCAGGTAAGACATGGGTCTTTAACCATCATTACTATCACCTATGATTCTGTAAAATATCTTTTCAAACAGGAAGATGCATTCACGATAGCAAAAATTTTATCACAAGGGACCAAACACTTTTAAATTTCTTTTTACATTTTTATAATTATGCTTCCCGATTTAGAAATGCCCACGTGCCTGCTGTGTGTTTGTCTACTTGGCTCTGTATACTGCGAAGAAGTTGACATTGATGTTGTACCACCATTGCCAAAGGAATCAGCATACCTTTATGCACGATTCAACAAAATTAAAAAGTTGACTGCTAAAGATTTTGCAGACATACGTAAGTTAATTTTAAATGAGATATTACCATTTAACTAATGTTGGCAAAAAATGTTGCCATCTAGTATCTCTGGGCTTTGAAGTCTTGGGATGTCACTGTGCGAGTACTTAAGTACGTATTACAATTCAGAAAAATAAATTGGCTTCTATAGTATTTTATTATCATATCAGACAAAAGCAAAACATACATACAAGTATACACAGAAACACTAAATTTCTCTATTTCTCAATCTATTTTACTTTAACAAATCGAGACATTTTTGTATTTGTTACTGTTATGCAAAAAGGTACACCAAAGATTAAAATACTCAAAATTGCAGTGTAACATGCTGTTGAAAAAATCCATGGAAAAATGAAGTTATAATATCATGGCAATCTTCCTATAAACTTTCTGAAGTTCCCTAATATCTACATGATTCTGTTCAATAAAAAAAGTGCTCATTTTGCATGAGTTAGAGCATGAATTTCCTGTGAGCTACCTGAGAGTCCTTCCTGAGTAATTCAAACATAGAAGGCTGAAAGACTTGTAGCATTTTTAAGATTCTTTCCAAACCGGATATTCTCTGATTCCAGTTAATTGGTGATCCATGACAACCACAAAATGATTGGAATTCAATCAACAAAAATTTACTGAGCTAATAACTGGAGATATTCTACTAGGCACTAAAAATAAAGGATGTTTGAGAGGTCTGTTAAGTAAATGCTTTTTCTGATAAATTTGTTAAATAATTAAAATGATCATTTAACTTTTATATTTTTGCATATTTTCTTCTCAAGCTAACTTAAGACGACTCGATTTTACGGGAAATCTGATAAAAGATATAGAAGATAGTACTTTTTCAAAACTTTCTCTATTAGAAGAACTTTCACTTGCTGAAAATCAACTATTGAAACTTCCAGTTCTTCCTTCCAAGCTTACTTTATTTAATGCAAAACACAACAAAATCACGAGTGAAGGGATCAAAGCAAACACATTCAAAGTAAGTATGATTAAATATAACATCTGATTTATAGAACCAATGATAATATGATAAATAACAAAGAACTCTGGGTATAGAATTCTGTTTTGATTATAAATTTTGTTTTTTAATTATATTTTTAAATAACTAAGAGATTTTAAAAGTTTTAATTTGATAATGAAACCAATTTTAATATAATAAATAACCATGCTATAAAGTTAGTACCATCTACCTCATGCCTCCAAATTAAATACAAAGGTGAGTCAGAAAGTATTGCTACTAGGGGTCTGATTCTTACACAAGTTCATTCCAAACAAAACATATTTACACATATCTTGGAGTGATTAAGGCTGCAAACATGTACTCTCACTAATACATGTGTCTCCTTTTGTAAAACATGTGTCTTAATATCATTAGAGTGCTTAAAAATATATCTCCAAAGGGATCTGATGCCGTAGTTAAATTTACGGCACAGAGCTCCGTTCAGAAGGTTATGGTGACTGTGCTTTTGGATTCCAAAGCAGTAATATTAACAGATTTTCTTGAATGACAAAGATGATCAGAGGGGATTATTAAACATTGGAAACTACATCAGTGAAAAAATCCAGGAAAGTTGTCCTGAGGAATCTTTTTTCCATCATGACAATGCACCTGCTCAGTTTTCAAGCATAGTAAAGGATTTCCTATAAGAATTGCACTGGTCCATGTAGAAAAAGAATGATTGGAAACTGATTGTGGTAGCAATTTTTCAGTTCTACTTGACTGATTAAAATATGGAATATGATATATATTAAATGCCAACTAATAAAAATAATAAAGAATTTCATTGAGATACCTTATCCCATTAACCTGATTTTGTCCTTTCAGTTTTTTCTTAATTAAATCATTTTATTGAGGGTTCTTACAGTTCTTTAATAATCCATATATCAATTGCATTAAGCCCATTTGTACATATGTTGCCATCATCATT